GTTTTACTTTAAGAGATACTTCCAAACCCTTTCTCTTGTTTATATTCATTTTCAAACAAAAACTTGACTTCCTGTGACCTAGAAAAGTTAAGAAACATCTTCTCTATCTATGGCAAAAAAGTTTTGAAAGAAAGAAGAGCTAATAGTGTAGTACTTGAAACCTTTCATATTGAAGCATGTCTATAGAGATTTTCTGCAGTAGGAGGTAACAAACATCAAGCCATATTTCAAAGTGTCTGCCCACTGTTTCTTTCCTCTATAGTCACCCAAAATTTTTTGATTTTCTGGGGAATTTTGTCTACCTCAGTTTGACCCTGAATTTTAGATGACACAATCTATTGCAAAATATGATTGGTAGACATGAAACACATTAGTAGCTGAATGTAAACAAGTACCTACTGGTCATCTCACATGTTTTGATGATGTCATTGGTGATAGAAAGAGAAATCAAGGTTATGAACTCCTCCATTTCTCCAAATAAAGTTTAACTGAAGCAAAGAAATCATAAGGCCATTAGGATGGGCACTAAATTCCCTAGGTAGTGAAAAGGTAGTTATTTGTTCAAGCCAAGGCCTTCAATTTCTTATTATTCTGGTCAGACAAAGTACTTGAAGAAGATTATTTCCTTATTTCGGTCAGGCTGTAAGACCAAAAAGCAGAGAAATGTAAAACATTGCCCTTCTCTAGGATTAAGAATGCATTTCCCCAGACGTTGTGTAATGATATTATAATCGACGAGGATCCCCATACTTTGCAGACCCTCCCACCATTACAAGGCAAAAAGATTGTTAGGGAATCTGACTTTTTGGGTAATGGAAGATATACACCAGTAAAATTCCTTTAACTAGGCATGGCTGCTGGAAGATATTAGGAGTTATATAATAAGACTGAAAAGCCACATAAGAACCTGGGTCCACCATTAGCTGTTTTGTGTTACACAAGTGAATAAAAAATCAAGACCAAAAGAAAGGAAGCGTTGAGCTAGACACTGGATCTGAGTAGGCAATAAGTACCTCAGACAGTTACAAGAAAATAATCAAGAACACAGATGAATAAGTTCCTCAGACAGTCAGGAAGAAAAAGGATATCCCAGAAGGGTTAATTCCTAATAAGAAGAGGTTTTTAGCTAAGGTCTTTTGAAAGACATAGAGCAATTTTAAATTTCTTTTTTCTTTTTTCTTTTTCATGTAGTGTGTTTACACATTTTTAGATACTTTCCTTTCCTTTTATTTTCCCTTTCCCCTTTTGTAGTTTCTCGAATTCAGTTCCTTAGAGGATAATAAGCAGTGACAATCTGCTAGCAATAATGGGTAAGTTAGGAGGGTCTTCACCCAAAACTTAGTTTGGAATGAAATATTGTTCCCAAGATTGCACTTAGAGACTGAAGCTCTTTTGAAAATTGAAAGCCATTGACGAGTGTATTAGTATGAGATTTTAATTTAGCTATGATACAATTGCCCTATGTATCTCAATCGATTTCTTAATGATTAATAAACACACAGTACTGGCCTGATCATGGATATTAAAAAAAAAAAATAAATAAATAAAAAAAAGTATGTGTTATCTTTTTATCACAGGTGAATAAAAAATTATTGCTCAAAGAAGATTGGAATCAAGTGTGTTTTGAAAGTAAAGCTTCCACTAGACAATAAGTCTCCTCAGATAATATACAAAAATGAAATCAAGATCAAAAATAGATAAGTTCTTTAGATGGTCAGGAAAAGAAAGGATATTTCAATTAGGCATTTCTTATTGAGAAAAGGTCTTGAGAGACAGGTTTTTAGAGAAACCTGAAAATCTTTTTTCAATTTTTACCTTTTTATTTTCTTGTTATCTATTTAGATATTTTTAAATATCACTCTTTCTCTTTTTTTCGATCCATCCTTTTGTAGTTTCCTGTATTCCAGTAGCTTGATCAGATATATGGCAGTGACAACCTGCTAACAATAATACAATAAACTAGAAGGATTTTTACTCAAAGATATTGCATAATGAAATATTGTTTTCAAGATTGAACTTAGAGGCTTTTATGCTTACAATGAGTTAGATTAGAATAATAGTTTAGCTGTAGTATGTATCATATTGCTAGAATAAAAATGTACTTATGTTTTCAATTGATTAATAAACTAACAATTTAGCCTGGCTATGGATACTCAAAAAAAAAAAATAGTGGAAAGTATGTAGATATTGTTTTTAAACCATAATTATGATTTCTAATGAGATGATACTTCAAGAGAATAATATATTATAAGTGTAAAGTCATAAAAGAATTTAAATATGAGCTCGGAATTGTAAACCATGGAATGATACTATGCCCGAACGCATTAAAAATCGACCTAATCATGTGTTACCCTCGGATAACATGTGATACACAAATATATTTCATAATTGATCGATTTATCAAATATTTTATTTCTCGAGTAATATGGCCAAGAAAAACATTCTTTTATTTAGTGATACGTTTAACATAAACGACGAGAATAAAGATGGAAAAAAATTTGATCGTGGTACGTGGTTTATTTATTTATTTTTTCTTTTTTACTTTTATGAATACATTCTTTACTCATTGGATATTTATTTAATAGTTTCTCGTTTCACTGGACGCGGAGAGAGTTTGGAAATGGAACTCACAATAGACATAAACATCGAGCTATATCCTTTAGATCTAGGCGATCGGGTTAACGTAATTCTTACCACCTCATTAGCCTTAGAACCCTCAGTAATTCAACAAGCTGAGGATGTTATTGGCGGGGCTCCAGCCGAGGAAATGAATCAAAAAATTTCTTGGAGAGAAAAAGGCCCTATGGAAAAGGATCTTTCTGATGATTATGAATATGTTATGTATGGAAAAGTTTACAAGTATGATGAAGAAAGAAGAAGCAAAGTGTATCCTTTTTATATTAATACATGAGTAATTCTTAAAAAATAATAATTTAGTCAAATACTGTATATCATTATTCTCAACGCGATTCACAAAACAGCGGTGTATACATATCTTATGGCGGATTGCTCATGTCATTAGAAGGGGATTTTCGTCACGTACAAAATTTGCACGTTGGCCAGCATGTTTATTTATTGATGAGGCGCGTTTAATAGATAACGAATATTAAAAAAAAATGTCAAAATAGACGTTATGTTTATGAACTGTTTAGATACTTCTTTTTCAAGGTCTTGTAAGGTTAAGTTCTAATTTTTTTTTTAATTGCTTGTTGTTCTTTATAAAACTTGGCTCAATTTATCTTTGTGTATTTTATATCACATAAACCCAGAGTTTTACTTAATAGGTAATTTGATATAATTGAAGAAAAAAGTAAATTATAAGGTTTGTAGACTTGATAATGAAAAAAATATAATTTATTTTGATTTGCAATAATCAGTAATGTAATTAAATAATTAAAATAGTAGAGTTTGTATATCAAATTTTCAGCTATATTTGAAACCTTGAATAATAAATTAAATAAATACTTAAATAGAATTTTATAAATAATAGTTTTTTTTTTAATAATTGAATATAATTTTTTTTTGCAATATCCATAGCCAGGTTAAATTGTAATTTATTAATTAGTTGAAAACATAAATGTATTTTTACTTGAGTAGCATAAGTCAAATATTTCTATCAAATTTAATAAACTTATTATAAATAATAATAGTTTCTAAGTTCAACTCTTTTCACTGATCCTTTGACTACACACAAAAAAGATGTTCACAAGAAGTTTTTATATTTCCTTGCTAATAAAGTCTTATTTATTACTTTCCTTAAAACAACTTGAAGTATGACTTCAAGAGTCACTTCTATCCTTCTCCTATTGTTTACAAATCTCTTTATTCAAAAACTTGATTTCTAATGATCAAGAAAAATCAAGCAATATCTTTGATACCAATGATAAGAAAGTTTTCAAAGAAAGAAGAACTGACTGTAAAGTACCTGAAGGTCTATTTAACCTTTGAAGCGAGAGGTATATAGAGGTTTTTGATGACTGAAGGACTTATTTTTTCTCTTTCGGTTACTTGTGGGCCTCTTAGAGCTATTATTTTTATAGTTTTCTGGGAAATTTTGTCTATCTCAGTTTGACCCTGAATTTTTGATAGCACAAATCCTCACCAAAAGTGATTGGTTGACATGAAACACATCAGTTTTTGGAATGTAAACAAGCATCTATTAGTCACACTCATGTGTCTCAATATATTATTGATAATATAAGAAAAAAAGTTTTAGAAAAAAAGTTCCCTCCAATTGTATATATTCAACCTCCAGAAAACAATTATAATATTGAAAAACGAGTGACAAGTATAAAAAGAAGATTCAACTTCCATCTTTCATTAAGTTCCTCAAGTGGTGAAAAGACTTTCTTGGACAAAAGTTGAGGTCTTCAAGCTTCTATCCCAGTTAGGCAAAGTTCTTGAAAAGATTTCTTTATCCTGGTTAAATAAACTCTTTTATAATATAGTACTAGCTTCATTAGTAATAATGTGATAAAAATAGCATCTACTACCATTGGATAGTTATTTTTAGTCATGATCTTCATTCTATTTCCATTTTTATCTA